AATAATTTTGTGACGTGAAAAAGTGTAGATATTTGTTACAATTCGTTCTCTTTGCAATTATAAATCAAAACTTTATACTTTTTTATACCATTTTGTTACACTGAACTGTAAATAATGTATATCCATTAAAAGAAATCTGAAAAAGTTCTTTGTTGTAGGGTTACTTCATTTATCTTCACCGCACTATCGACTGAGCGAATAATTTTGTGACCCACTGTAGGTTAAATAACTCTCTCCATCATCCACGAAAAACGTAAATATTGTCTACCTGCCGATGACTGCATATTTTACATTTACATTACAAAATTATTGCAGCTAATTAGCCTAATATGATCGTTTTACGGAAAATGTTGTAATAAGAATAATAGCATATAATTGCCTAGGTTTCACCATGCATAGGTTGCTGTGAGTGGAGACACAGGGTGATGATTAATAGACTATTAGTAGACTAATACTATCGGAGTTGAAAATAATCCCTCGGTGGATATTTCTTTTCTTCAGTCTAAATCTAAATGAAGAAGTATATAAATATAAAAAAGTAACATTAAAGAGAACTATACGAAAGAATAATAAGAAAGAATTATAAGGAAAAATGATCAGAAATAAGGAATCCCATGGTGGATGATCAATGACTTCTTTCTTGAAATTAAATCTAACACATTAAATCGTAAATTAAATCTAACACAATAAATCGTAAATTAAATCTAATTTTAAACATGAATTTGTACATTATGAACGCAAGCAACGAAACATAGATGAAGATCCATTTCATCAATTCGCCTCCCTTAACTTAACGGATTTTAATATTAACGCAATTAATTCTACCTTCTTGGCGGCTGTCTTCTTCCTTGAGTCAAAACCTAATTGACAAGAAGATACAAGAAGAAAAGAAATTAAAAATTCCCCGGCGGACGATCGACGTCTTTTGCAAACTTAATTCTAACTTAGAAATAAGAAAAGAAGTCTCTGATTAGAAAAGAGTAATATAAGGGTGACGCGGAGCAAACCACGATCGGATCAGTAACTTCCAAACAAGGAGTAAGGGAAGACGTAGGGACGAGTAGTAGGGACCCAGCAAAGACTGCCGCATTAGCCGATAGCACGAGCACCACCGCCTCACACGGCGCCCATCATGAAATTTGATTTGGTACATCGACGTACGTGAGCGGCAGAATTGGCTTATATGACACACGTACGATTTACTTGCATACATGATTAAGTGAACCGGAATTAAGAGAGAAACTGTAGCGCTCAACCGCGAAAGAAAGTCGCGAATACGCGAAAATCTTCAACTGGGCGTCGGTCGCCACACCGGCGCTACTGGAAGATTCGCAAGCATGCGAAGACGATTCTTTGAGACGACACTTCCAGAAGTCGAGCGTTCTCGAAGAGCGAAACAAATAAATAGCGCGGTCGAGTTCGCGACAAGCAGTCATCTTCGATCCGTCAGTCTAAAAAGTACGATCAACGTCTGAACCCGCACGAATTATTCTATACTACGTCCACAGAACAAATGAGATGAGTTTTAATATGAACTACTCTAACGGGGATAATGATGGTTTCCAGGTCCACCGCGAGGAGGTTGATGCGAGGGACCCACTTATATTTTCGAATTTATTTGATCCGAATCGCGCTTTTTCGAAACACTTCACAGAAGTGTTAGCTCATCCGTTCATAGAGACAATTTAAGTTTTCAGACAAATTAATGCAATTCAGTTAAATAAAGATTATTATTAAATTATTAATGACAACTAACTAATTATTAAATTATTTTTTAACAAGTATAATCTAATATTACATTTCTTCATTTTGTGAATTTTCCTCCATGAAATCCTCCGTTATTCAACCCGTTAAACAAAAAATCCTTCACTGTCCTTATCATTAGAAAAATCAATTCTCTGTTATCGATAGAATCCTTCTGGTCACTTATACCCTGGACGTGTTCAGCCGAAGATAAACCTTGGCTAGCACGATAATTCTCCCCGAACTGTTCAGTCTGTTCGCCGCGAATATGTCGATCGTTGTCGGTTACGCGTCGTTTGCGATTTGCGGCCCTTTCTTTATCAACGTTATCTCGAATGTATCGCGATGCAATACGCCACGGAATTATTGTCAACCGTGATCCGCGAGGAGGGAGTTGCCATTATATACGTGGCAGAATATGTCGCGTCCACATTAAGTCCATTTATCGCGTTATTCAATAGATTTTTGCACAACCTGCCGATACCGGTATATACTTGGACTCTCAAGCTTCTGGGATACTATGTCTCTTTCTTCCGGAAGCGCTTTTGGAAGAATATCCGCAGACATTGCTGGTAAGGCGATGATTTTTGTGTAAGAATCGGAGATTAGAAAGCTTCCGAAAATAACTGTTTGAAACTGTTATATAAAGGGTGTTCCTAAATTATTGCGTATCCTGACTAATCGATATTTAAGTATGAGAAAGAAACATTGGATATCTCGTTTTCTTACTCTTCTATGCGAACTTTAACAGCAATTTTCAAAGAAATGATTCATTTCAATTAATACAATACGAAGACGCAATAAAAAATTTTAACCCCTTTTTCAAGGTTAGAGGCAATTTTGCGGCAGCTTCTTTATCTTAATCTCCATTAAATCGAAGGTGTAGAATCATGCTACGACAAGAAAGTACAATCATTTCTTTCCACCCCGTACATCTATTACTTTCGATGATCGTTTGAGGATGAAAATTATCGTATCGATGACATCGGACTTTGGTGTTTAACATTGAAAGTTAATAGTAAGTAATTTGATATTAATAACGAAAGATCAAACTATCGTTTTCTTTTTTTTTTCTAATATTTAACAGTTCGACGGATAACTCATCTTCTTTTGGATAAGGTTTCTAATGGCCGTTTCAAGTTTCTTCTTTTCCTATTATTCAACAGAATACAAATGCATTCTCGAGGAATTATTAACACTAGAACTACCAAACAGTCTCATTGCCTTTTCTTTAATCCTTATATGGAAACTATAATAGTACATTTATTGAGAATAAATAGGGGAAAGTAGGGTAAAATGGAATGCTTTTTTAAAAATCGTAATAATAAAGTATCCAGAAGAATAAACGCATGAAACTTTTTTTGGAAGTCTTAAGTAGACCTCTGGTTATAAGGCAATAGAAGATTTTTTTAATGAAAATATTTAGTTTTGAAGGAAAATACGATTTTTTAAAGATATTGAAATATCCGCTTCGCAAAAATGAGAGGGTAAAACGGAATACTCATGTAAAATCATATAAAAGTACAAAATGTTTACTTCTACTAAATCAAAATTGCTAGCTGAATATATTTCATTATTAGCTGATGTAAATAAACTACAAATGTATACGACTTTATGAACAAAAATCACAAATAAATGTGTCTTCTTCGTTTTTTGCACGGATACAATCTAATTAGTCAATCTTTATCTAATCTTGCATTCTAATTTGCTATACATCAACACGATTACATGTAATCAATTAAAACTGTAAACAAAGCATATAGTAAGAAACTGTTGTTGCCCATATGCTGAAGTGTTTCGTTTTACCTTATGCATCGTTATTTAGAAAAGCATGCAAAATTTACGGTTTGGCATGAGAGAAAGAAATAACTTAAATGTTCAATTAAATCCACTATTCCTTAGGTTAGCCATCAAATAGCAGCTTAGCTACCAATTCAACTGATTAACACGTTCTCTCTCACCAAAAATCTCAGTTACATTTTACTTATGAAGTGCATTGACTGTCTTTATAAACTATTAAGTCATAAGTCAAATGGGATAAAATAAAATAATAAGTTCCAATTTTTGGCGACTTTTATACATTTTGATATCATTTCTTTACGTTTCGTAAAATATATTCTCACAAGAATTGTCATGTGTCAACGCGGTTAGAACGAAAATTCCTGCTTGGTGGTCATCAAAGAATTTATTCGCATTAGAACACCGCTCGTGACTATTATTTCCTTTCAAAGATCCGATTAATGGAAGGTCGACCGTTTAGTTAATTGTCGACATTAGCTGCGACCGGCATATGTGGCACCGTTTAAACACCGACACGTTTCTCTACTCGAATTTCGTTTCCCTTTCCGTGAAAACGTACAAATCCACGCGACACGCGAGCTTCTCCACTCTTACATTCTACCCCAGTACATACCCAATCTATTATTAATAATGTTTTTCCTTTATTCATAATACCGGTTTTCCTTTCGGACAGGTTAAAAAAATCTCCGTCAAGGGCGCGTGCACAGCCCTGACTAGCCGTGGTCGACGAGCGATGGCCGTGTGGCGCCAAAGCTCTGTGCATGCACCGTTCTCACGCTGTCTGCGAGGGGTTTCTTCTTCAGAAATGTCTGCAGAATCCAATGCTGCATAGCAAATTCGTTCTAGCCAACCCACTTTTCGTAGAAATGTAACAGAAGTGCGTACTAAGTAAAAAATAATTAAGGATAGGCAAAATTATTTAAGGATAGGCAAAATTAAAAATTTTTATAGCTACATATTCGGGCAAGTCTCCTCTATTTTCTACGGCAAATTTTAACTGCCTATCGTTTTTAGTTTTCACGTAACACTTGGTTTTCTGAAAAATTCGACCGTTTTTACAAAACCTCAGTTTTTTCGAAAACTAGACCTGACCCAGCAATTTGGTTCTCGGATTCGTATTTAGTTTACAAAATTTGTTCCACAGTGTAATGATCATGCGTCGAAAGTCTAGGCGACCCGAGCATCTTGAATGGAAGAGTCCCTTTACCCATGTGCACTTTTAGTTTGGTGGTCGATATCTGTTTTTACAAGAGTCGATATTTCGTCAATATACCCACATTCACTCATACGTACATCCAACCATCGCATCCTTCAACAAGTGTTAGTAATTAAGTGTTTTTGTTTGTTAAAATATATTAAATAGTTCAAGTCCAACGTCTTCATCACTGGGTCCACTAACGTCAATAATCACTCCTTATTTCTTTGATCGGTTATAAGGAGAGTCGTTCAAAACTCACGGTGCGACAATAGTCGAAGTCGAGATTTACAACCTCGGCTTGTATTTTTGGCACTGACCGCAAACACGTCGTGAGGCGTAATCTTTTTACGCGAACGAACAATGATTGCTGTATTTTTATATTTGTTTCTGGATAATTGTTAAAAATAACTATACGAAAATATGTTTTCTGTGTTTTTAAATAAGATATGTGTCTTTTGGTTTGTATAAATTATATATTACTTGTTGCAGTAAATACTATATATAATTTCTTTTGATTATTTCTTTTTAGGGGAACCAGTAGAAGTTTGCATCTAGGCGGCAAACACTTTTTTGTATCGAAGCAGCTAGAACAATAAAGTTAAGAACATTTTAGTTGTTGAACAGAAAAAGAAATAACGAGTGAAAGAAGGACAGAATGGGTGTTCGAGGATTAGCATCATGTACGGATCGGGACAAGGCCTAAAACCGTATAAACTGCAGAATACCTATTTGGTGATAGATGGTCGTAATTTGTCATATAGTATATATCATTTGTGCAAACATGAATATTAAGCACGTACGATGCCTGATCGATGTCAATACGGCTATAGCGGCGGTTGCAAAGGCGTAAAACATGAAGTGTTCATAAATTTCTTAAGCCAGTTTAAGAAGTATTTAAGAGGCAAAGCGATTTATAATATAAGACTAATCTTTGATTGGTTGAGTAAACATACCTTGGAGGAAGCAATCATCAAAATTATGAGTGGAATACCTAAGCCAATGAGAGAAAAGGTTTTACATGTGATAGAGGCAAATATAAATTATTATACGTGTTTGCCAGCAGTGGACGAGTATATTAAACTTTTGGGTGTTTCGAAAGATTCCGTTGAATGTACAATCGATTCTACGAATGAGATTTATAAATTCGAAGGGGATATTCAAAGTTTACCGTACAAAGGGATAGAGTCTTTTAATGGGATTAATGAGCAGGAAGGCTCTATAGATCAATTAAGACATACTCTTATCGAACATGAACAAGCAAACCGTGGACCATCTAATGAATCGATGATCGATACGTTGCCTGAGTGGTTTCTAAATGATTTTTACATGGCTAGACTTCCAGACATGTTCTTATCATTAATTGGCAAGCATTGGTATCCTACGCCAATACAAATAGACAATTTTCAGTCTCCCTCGAGTTATTTGATTGGTTTTGATATTCTTAAAGTTACATTCGGAATTTTGTCGTCAGCGACAGATGAAAAAAGATCCTTACTGAAATGTATGGTTAGGAATCAGCGTGGGGGTTTAGAACATCATGACTTAGAAGGGACGAAAACTGTACCTTTGTCAGAAGTTAGAGAGCTTCCGCTGAATCATCGAAAAGAAATTTTGGATAATACGTTAGGGATTCTAGACATACAGTGTATCGAGACACTTCCACCGGAATGGAAGTTATATATTGCCTGCTTTAAATATTGGACAGATCGAGCACCGCAGTGTAGGTCAGACAAATGTTACAGGTATTCAATAATTTTCAGTATGTTGTTTAACATAATAATTACGAAAATTGGGCAACACAAATCTCTGAAAAGCCTGGAAAGTTTATATCCAACGTTACTTTCAGATGAAATGAAAAATTTCATTCCATTTCATTTCCCATCGCATTTTTCATCGAAAGAAACAAATTCTCAGGCGTACATAAAACATATTCATAAGGAAATTAATATGCTAGATTGTCTTCTAGCTGTGCCATTTTTTATTAAACACGCTAAATTACAATCCTCATCTTTGAAGACGCGTATTCTTCATTCGTTTGTAGAATTTCAAATCTGCCTGTCATTAGGTATAGATCTGAATGCGCTTCTCGACTGTCCTTATGAAGAAGTCAACGTAGCTACTTTTATCAATGGCCTGTTTTTGTACAATCTGTATGTCGATTTTAAAGAGCGCAATGATGTACACGATTATGCAAGTGGAATTCTTACGAATTCTCCGACCCTGTTAAAAATTTTCAATGAGTTAGTTACAATACTAAAGTATATACTCCAATGAAATAATATTTCAGAAATATATTTACTTATACAGTCGATAAAATTGATTTGTAAGGTTAGAGCGATAAAACTATAAATTTTATAAATAAAACAGATTAATATTATGCATTTTCTCTCTACAGATATTCCTCTATTTTTTGTTTTCTAGTAATTACGCAATTTTTTTCTACTCTGAGAAAGAACTAGCTTAACTTCCTTCAAACCGTAGTCTTCTACAAAAGAAAATAATTCAATTACGTTACTTTAGATGATTTATTGAATAAAACTGGTAACTGCTATTGCGATTAAACGACTTACTAAGAAATCCTTAAGTACTGATTATAATAATCATTTTAGGATTGTAAAATATTTAAGGTATCGCATACACAGGGTGTTTTAAAGTATTACGCATAAATGATAGGGCGCGTACAACTTACTAAACTGAGTAAAAAAAACCCCGCACTCATGGGTTATATATATACATATATATATTTATATCAGTTTTTAATCAAAGATTTATTTTTAACAGATTGAATTCATTCAAATATCAACATGCAAGTCTTATTTCATTATGGAAAATTTATTCATGTTATTTCACACATAAAATTCTATTACCTAACAGTATTGTTAATAAAGATATCACATTTTTACGAATTTTTTTTAATGTTTTTAAATAAATGCAAATAATCAAGTATGTAATAATTTTTTACCTTTTTATATAAACGATATCATTGAAATCTGTCTATTTGCTATGTCCTGCTAACCGTTTAACTAGTTTTTAATATTGTGTCCATAATTACAGGTAAACAATATTGAAATTATTCTCTTTTTTCTTCAAGTATGTTTAAATTTCTGTCAATCGTTATTCTAAGTTACTGCATTATTTTACTGTTGAAACGTCACATCACGACGTTCAATTTAATAAATAAAGAATTTTTGATATAGCCAACACTGTACTGATTGTTATTTAAAATTTCAATATATTTGATTCTCATTCTTATCACTTATAGCGCTGCCATACAAAACCAGTCTTAATCGATATGACAGGGCGTGACATGAAAATGGTAAAGGGTACTAGTCCCTCCGAGAGCGTGTGACAAAGTTTTACATTGCGTGTTACGTCTATCTTATACCTCGCCTGTGGTACAATCAAACGTTTTATTATATTTTCTTTAGATGGTAAATAAAGGAATGATTTTACGTCAACATGTTTTTTATATAATGGCTCTTTCAACGAAAACGATTGAGTTCCGACCTATGATTCCTTTGAGACCTTTTTTTCTCGCAATGAGTAAAATTCATTGCATTAAAAAAAATGTTGACCTTGAAATGTAAAGTCAAGATAACTTTCCACGGATTTTTTTTATCAAATCTTCAATCCAGTGGTGTACAGTGTAGAGTCACACTACCGTGATTTTTATACTTAATTTGTATACACCCTGTACATAAATATTTCTATTATTACATAGTAAGTACTTATCTACGTTCTTATTTATACGTTTATATGTACGAATATGTAAACATTTAATTTACAGAATGACATGACATGATAACATTTATTTCATTTAATGTACTTATGTAATTAGTTGACGTCTATGAACGTTATTCAAGTGATAAGGTTATCAAGAGAAACTAACAAGGTTAGTTTCTTTAATCGCAATGATTTTAATTTAATAGCAGTTGTATGGTGTGTAACGTAGGTAGTAAGTCGGGACGTTTATAGGAAACAGCTGTTATATTGCAGTATTCTTCGGAATTACAGTAAGTTACATATCCTAATTATGACGCAGTGCATTATTTGATGGTTACTAATTTATTTACTATGAAAATTATACATTTGTTATGATATATATTTTATGTGATTTCTGTTGATACAACATTAATATTAAGTATGATATTAGTAAGAATTGAATGCTATGTACATTTTGCTCAATTTAGCATGAAAATAATTTATTTGTATAATTATGATATAGTACCCTATGGTGTATATCAACTACATGTAACTGTACCTAGTTATGTTACTAAACAATTTTTATTAGATGATATTTGTCTCATTGTAATCAATTGATAATAAAATTTAAACAATTTAATGATATTATTAGGTATCACTGATTATTTATTATACTAATCTATAAAAAGGTAAACTTATATAAATATTTATAATTCAGTAATCATTTACTTTTATTTTATGTATTCTTAGAAACATATCAATTACTTTTGTATTCAAACCATTTAAAAGATATATTCAACAATAAACTAACTATAAATCCAAACATATAACAGGATTTATGTGTGAAAATATATGTGTGAATGTAATAGACCTTATCAATAATGATTTTCGCATTGAATGAACAGAAGATTGTACAAATAAATTTATATAAAAATATAGATTTAATTCAATATTACAGATATTACCATTTAAACTCATGTTCTAATTTCGTATGATTATTAATTTTTTTTATATTACTA